TAGTTTTCCTGGTACATTTTATTTTGTAAGCCCTACCTGTGTAGAGGAAGTTTAACTGACGATAAAAGAAAGTACATTTGTGCCCACCCCCCTGAAGATGATGTAATTTATTTGTTTATTCCAGCCTGTTGTGGAAGGTTATCTGTATAGTTTTCCTTGTAGGAAACAAACATGAATGTAAGAATGCTGATAAAACACTAAATTGTTGCTATGAGAGAGCCAAATGCCTGTGGTATTCTACTGCTCTTCAGACACATTATGATTTAAATGTCTTCTCATCAGAATATGGTTTTGATTAAGTAAGGAAATTACAGTAACAAATCTTATCTAAGTTGCTTGATACTAATGATGTACACTTCATTGCACTTACACCTTGGCAACTCTTTAGATCAAAGGCAGCCAAACTTCAGATTTGTAAAATGGGGCATAGAACTTACACAGTTGGCTATGTCAAGGTTAATAGTTTTTTTTACTGAAGTGTTAGGCTTTTGACTGTGATATGTTTGTGTTTTGAGGTTTAAGTGTGAGTTTTAAGTCTGTGATGTGTTATCCCAGCCACTAGCGTGAGAAAATTGTAGTTTAAGTTGCTTCTTTTTTTTTTCCTATGGTCAATTATTTTTGGTATTTTGAGGTAGGATAGTCAACTGAATTTATTCCTTATTCTTCAAGTATAGGAGTAAGCACCTAGACATCTTGTCTGGCATGAAATTTTGGGCTATCTGTATCATTACTCTGTGGTCAGCTATGCCAGTAATCTAGACAAAGATGATTACTGGAATGGATTTTGTCTGCAGAGGCTTGTGGGGGGTGCCTGATAACATGACACTTCCTGACACGATTTATAAAGGTGTTGCATTATGTGGGTGGGATGTGATTGGCCTATGATCAATTTCCTCTTCTGAAAAGAACAAGTCAGTAGAAAGAAGTGGCAATGCAAATGTGGAGGGAATATTTTTAGAAAGGAGTATTTCATATGCACAAGGAGTGCTCCAAAGGCTGATATGAAGGACAATTGCATAAGATACCTGGGTAACTCTTTTCTACATTGAACTTTCAAACCTTCAAAGACAAAGGGACTGCCCAGAGATGGAGGATTGACTGAAGAAGATGGTCATTCTGCCCCTGGAATGGTGGCTCCCATGGCTTGTGCAGAGACAAGAACTGCATGTCCAAGTGACAGAGACTTGTGAGATACTCGCTTGCAGGTGTCTGGGTTGGTGGTGTAGCAGTGAATTGGTCCCAGTGGGACTAATATTCTGTAAGTAAATTGGAAAGAGAAAGCTTTGCTCAGAAGGCTCAGGGGCAGCCCAAGGACATTGCAGGAATAGTGACTGGAGTAAATCTGGCTATGGGGTTCCAGCACTGTGCAGGAGGGGCCACTTGTGGCTGTCCCTTATAAAACCTCTGGTGCTGAATTGAGGAGAGAATTGGAAAAATTGTCCTAATAACAGATTCACATTGACATTTTGTCTCTGCTAGAGTGGGGAAGTTAAAACTGCCTGGGGAAAAAGTAGAAGAGACAAAGGGAAACTACTTTTCCCTCCCCACATTGCTATTGGTTGTAAAAATAAGGGAGTTTTACTATAAAATGAAGAAAGTGTTCTGTGTCACTATTTACTTCAGATTAAGTATTTCTGGTGTATGTGTGACTGCCTGCTCTGGCCACTCATCAAGCTTGTTTGACAGTAGAAATAGAAAATAAATTTCTTTTCCTGCCTGGGGCACCCCATAATAGCAGTGGTTGTGGTAGGAGGGACTGAGGAGTTGGCAGGAGAGCTTGGCTGTCCCACTATGATGGTGAAGGAACCCAGTGTAAAACCCAAAATAAATTTTGCTAATTGCTTCAATACACTTGAATTTTGCTAACAGTCATGTCTGGGTTGTTGGTTTTCTTTTTGTCTCCAACAAGAAATCCTTCTTCTAAAGAGGAAAATAGTATTAGGATCAATATTAATATTGATATAAGTACTTGGAATTTTTTCTGTCTTGCGATATGCCTATAGATTGGGAAGTAAAAGAAAAAAGAAGATTTGAGAAGGATAAAATGTTCCCTTTACTGTGTTGTGAGAGCTGTGCTCTCTCTTCTGAGGGTATCAGTGTAAGGCTTCCTTGATGTAACCAAAAGAGCTTCTCTATGGTTGGACATGGCTATAAAAAGTTGTATGCTATGCCATGACTTTTTCATATAATCAGCTTTATTTGCTGCATCTGAAAACTCAAAACATAGGATGTGATATTCAGTTTGAAAGGTTTCGTGGAAAAAAATTCCTATGGTCCTTGTGGTATTTGGACTTAGTCACAGATGAATTTAATGCTTAATTTCTAGTTGGAAACTTTCACGTATTAATCAATTTGGGTTATTTTTGTGTTGTATTTGATTTTGGAAAAGAAATATATTGAAAACTAAAATATCAAACCCCTAGATTCATTAAGTTTCTGCCTTTACATTTAAAGGCTTGCTGTTTCATACATGTTGCTATAGTGCATCATCCCAGGCTTGTCTGATGTCATGTGTGATGGGACTACAGAACTGGATTTGCCATAATGCAGCATTACTGATCTAGTAGCAGAATGTGCAAGAGTTTTCCTGCCCACAGTAGCACTGTGCTAAATGTTCTACAGAGCTTTCCTTATTCCTACATTTGCAGTAGACAGCACACATTGATTTTATTTTTCTCAGTTTTGTTGTATCACTAATTATCTTTCCATACTGTGTTTCACTTTACAGCACTCTGTCTCCAGAGTAATCATACAATTTCTTACTTTGCACTGTTCTTTTCAAATACTGCTTTTAATATAAAGAAGAATGAATACAGTGTATCATCTTTGTTCTGTTAATCAGAGGTATATTTTACATAGTTTATGCACTTCAATCTTTGTGGAAGATAGCCTGAGAGAAGAATGAAAGTGAATTTTTACATATGGAAGAAAGTCGTGTAGTCACATCCATGTGTTAAACTACTGTCTGTATGAGGTTGTAATTTTTTTTTCTTTTGATCCACTTATGCTTATTATTTTTGAAGATTCTGTTCTAATTAAATGAATAGAATTTCTTATTTGGTTGTTCTTGAAAAATGGTCAGGTTGTTAGTTTTAATTTGATATGCTTTCAATCTCATGAGTCTTGCACTTTTGGCTTACACGTTGAATGTAGTTCTGCAAGATGTCCTGGTCTGAACCAAATGGTCAATGAAAATGAGCTTTTGTTGGGAGTGAAGTACTGCAATTTGTTCTAGGGATTTTTCAGGATTGGAGTTTTGCCTAAGAAGTTTTGGCAGCCCTCTAGCAGACATGTTATGAAATACAGGCTGTGTCTAGTTAAGAGCCAAAAAATAATTATTTTTCTCCTGGTTTAAAAAGTGATTTACAAGATCAGTTTTATCCAGCCACTGTACCTTCCTGCTGTAGGTGGGTAGTATGCACACCTGTTTCAGTGAGCAGAAGTTGTGGAATTGACATCTTGCATGTTAGAGCAGAAAGAGAGACACAAGTGAGGTAGTTAAAACAGTACTGATTGTAAGATTATTCTCTGGGTTCTTGCATTCCTTTTGTTTTTTGAGTAAAGTTTCATTTTTCAGCATGTTCATTTTTAGCAGGTGGATTTGAAAGTTGACCTTTCTGACACTGGGTACTTAAACAGATTCTTTGAATTTTTTTTGTAAGCCTTTTAATTCCATCCAAGAAAGAGTGATGCTTGCATGGTTATCTTTGTATTACAATTTGTGGTTGGTCTGAGTTTTAGTCTGGAAGTTATTTATGATACATAAGAACAAAACTTATAAGTATCTCCAAGTTTAATGGAAGAATATGTAATTTTCTATGTCAGAAAAAGCTTCTGGTTTTTCTTTTGAGTACTGTATATTCTTGCATTCCTGCCTTCATGATTTTTTTTCCTATTTTAATTCCTATGCATCATGCCTTGCTATGTTTTTGATAGAAAAATACCAGAAATTTATGGAGTCCTAAACATTCTAATATATATAATAGTATATATAAATAAAAAACAGTAATAAATAAAACCGTAATTAACCCTTACTTGTCACTGTTGAACATGAAATGATTTACACAGACCCAGCTCGAAGTGTGATGAAAGAACCTTCTGTCCTTTCAGTATTTATAGATTTTCGACAACTACCAGGGATTGAATAGTCAGGTTACCACCTTCCCAACCACACTGGCTGTGAGAGACATCCATCAAAAGGCATATCTTTAATGGAATATATAAACATTTATGTTTATAGTTCCTTTCCTGGGAAAGTGACTAGAAATTATGAAAACAATATCAAAAGGCCTGATTCTCAGAGCGACAGTCACTGGTACAACAAATGAGTGTGTCACATTTAAATTATACTCCTGCTTTTAAAAGGGAAGGTAAAGAAAACATAAGTATAGTAATGGACAAGTGCTTTGTACGTAAATCTTATCTTTGGAAATAAATCTGCTAGTAGTGTGTTGGTATCCTAGCAGTGTGAATAGTGATCTTTTATTTTGTTAAATTTGCTGTGTGCATCTACAGATGTGGGCACTGTGCAACACATTTAAACAAGGCTAACCAAACCCTGGTGAATATTTTTTAATGGTTTTGAAAGTACTCAGGTTATCCAGTATATTGCTGAATAGTTATGACCTAACTGTCCTAAATTTGCTGCACCGTTTTCAAATACGGTGGTTTTAAGGTTGTGAGCTGCTTTTCCTTGTGCTTTCACATAATAAAATATTGTTGAAAATGATCCTAGTTACTCAAACAAGAATAAAAACCAGATGTTTTGTTTTCTATTTATTTTGACAGCTAAGGTAGTTATAGGGTATATTTAAGAAGTCTGTGTTACACCGTAATTCAGATTTCAAGGTGTTTGGTAAAGTCCATATTTCTGGTTCTTGTCAGTGAAAAACTTTAAAGTCTAAATCAAACGAGATGTGTGTGGATTAAGATTTCCTGTTGTGAGCGTTGCTTCATGTTCTAGATTTCGTTTAATGTGTATTTTCAAATCTTGTTTTTAGGTCAAACATCCGGCCAGACTACGCAGATACAAGCTTTCACGAGTTCAAAATGCATACCTTCAGTCGGGTGACATCTTGCAAAGTCTGTCAGATGCTTCTGAGGTATTGTAAATGTGTTTTTGGGTGGTGGTCTTCCCCTCACTGGCCCTGCAAGGTCAGACTGGATAAGGCTTTCAGAATCCCAGTCTAGTGAAAGGTGTCCTCGTCCATGGCAGAGTTTGGATAATCTTTAAGATCCATTCCAACCCAAAGCCTTCTATGATTCTAGGTTGCATATTGTTGATATTGTTAAAAATGAGGCCACAGCATTTTAGCAAGGGCATTTGAGAGTGGGTAGTGCCTGTGTTAAGCACAGGCTTTTCCTGACTAGTCTGACTGATCTGGATTTTCAGGGATTTTATTTTTTTTTCTTCTTTTTCCCCCCTCAATGCAACAAGATCTAAGTAACTATGAACAATGGTGCAGACCTTCTAAACTTACAAGTCAGGAGGGTTAATTCCTGACTTTGGAGTAGTGTAGTTGAGTTACTGGGTCTGCACCAACTGCTGTTGCTGAGCAGTTGTTATGCATTCAGGACACAGCCCCCAGGATGCTGCCTGGTTCTTCATGGGCCACCAGCTGGGTATTCCCAAGTGGCACCTTGTGGAACAGAGACATTTGGAGGAATTAGTGGCTCTGAATATTACTTGAAGTGTCCATAATATATGTATTTTAAAAAATGAACAAATTGAAAGTCAAGAAGATTTGCCTAAAGTCAAGAAGATACAGCCTAAAAACTAATATTTAATGCTTAAATATACATTAAAACTTGCAACTCTCTTGAACTGTTTCCTTTTCTTCATGGTGCCTAGGCAAATTCCCACTGAGATGAAGTGAAGTGTAGATCTGTAGTAGGAGAGATGTATAATGGTACAATTTCAAGTGTACTGTTCCAAAGTAGCTCTGGATTACATTGAAATGGAGGTTATTATTCTACTAGGAGTCTGAAAGAACTGTCTGGTTGTGATTTTTAAATGGCTAGTAGTGACAGAAAGCAGATGAGCTACTTGTTTGTCAGTTGTCACTTTTTTCAAGCCTTTAAGGACTATCATTATGCAGAACAACAAATTATTTCTAATACCTTCTGCCATGTCTTTTATGTCCTTTATGTGTGGAATTTGTCACCTCTAATGTATCACTACCTAATTTTATTTTACAGGGGAACATTTTATCAAGGCTATTTATGTTCTAAGTGTGGAGCTGGAGCACACAAAGAATGTTTAGGAAGACTAGACAATTGTGGCAGGGCTAATTTAGGTGGTAAGTCATTTTTATTGTTAGAATACCATTTTTAATTAGGACATAAAACTTGCTAGATATAATTAAGGTTTAATTTACCTCTAATTTGTGTTTATTGTAACATGCATACTTGTGAAACTACCATTTATAAGCACAATTAGAATTGCATTTAGGATTCGTTGGGATTTTTATTGTTACTAAATTGAAATGTTCCGAAGGAGGAGAGAACTGTTACAGGTCAAACCAAATTTCTTCGTCAATGTCACATAAAACAGGCATTGCTTCTGTTTCAGTTGTGGACGGTTCATATGTAACACCTACAGTACAGCACATCATCTATCATCCTTGTGCTTCTCCCTTTATGTCTATGTCAATTTTCATACTTTCCTCTCAGTTCCTAAAGCTGTTTGTGTTGCCTCAGCTTCCTCTTTCATCTCTTCAGTTTCCATGGTTTCTGTCCACTCACAATATTCACAAAAAGGTGATTGATGTCTCTCTACTTCCCACACTTAAGAACTATTGTTTTTTCTTCTTTTAATCAATTGCTCTGTGAAGTTCTTCCCTGGCCATTGTCACTTTGCACTTCTCCTGTTGTTCTACTCTTTGGGACCTTAAGGAAACTTTTGATTTCAACTACCATTTGGCCACCCACAAATAACTCCAAAAATCTGGCATCTTCTCATTCTGCTCAGTATTATACCTGTAAATCTCTTTCTGACATCTTCTGGATCTCCCACTGCTAATGCTCAGTGTTAGCCCACATCACTGGCCAACCTTCCCTTCCCTGAACCTACTCTGTGGTGGCAGTGAGTTTGTTACACTATTGCTACAGTCATATAACCCTAGTGCCATTTTCAACTCTTCCCTTTGTCCAGCTTCTCAAATATTCCTTTTACTGGAGATTATTTTGAATTGATGTTTTGTTTAGAAAGAAAAGCCATTGGGACCACATGATGATTTTTGGAAAGTAGAGTTCTATATGTTGGGGAAGTTTCTAGTTTGGTATTCTTTCTCACTTAATCTTTGCATTCGTTTCCAGAATTATTTCATAACAATTTGTGAAGTTTCTCATGTATCACATAATTCACATAAGCTACTGCAACCTCTTCCCTTGGGTTATTATCTTTTTGACATTAGTCTCTACAACCTTTGTACAGTGCTGTTACAGAGGTACTCTCTCTCCCACTTTTGAATTACATGACTTCATCCATTGCTCTTTACTAAGCTGCTGTTTCCAAATTTTGACTCTAGCTTCTTGTTCCTTTCAACACTGTATAAGCTTGTTTCTTTGTTCCTGTGTGCAGGACTTCTGATTTCTACTTGGCTTTTGGCTCTCTGTGCTAATTACCTGTCCCAGTCTTCCAAGAAATCAACAGAATGGCAGGCACTGACTTTTGCTCTATTCAGTAAACTTTTTTTTCCTCAGCTGCTTTTCTGTATTGGAGATCTTCCATGCTATCCTCCAAGTGAATTCTTTACAAATAATATTCTGCATATCTGAAAATCATACAAGCAATCAAAAAAATCAGTGTTTGTGACTGAAACCCTTTTTGGAACACGGGCTTTTCACAGAACCTCCTGCACATATTCTAAGGAAAATAAATATTTAAAATTATCTTAAAAATGGTATTTTTAAAGCAATTACTTGAAATTAATAGAGTGGAAAAACAAACACATATTGTTCTTTACAAAAGAACTGTCTTCTGTGGTATAAACCACCCCTACTTCTACTTTTTTTCTTTGTCTTGCTCCTTTTCTTTTAATCACTTCTGTAGTTTCTATTTTAATTGGATAGCTGGCACCCCAGGAGGCAGGAGCTTGTCTTTCTGTTCCTCTGTAAATATCTGTGGACACATATGGTGCAACATGCATCAGTAAGAATGACCATAAATGCCTAGATAACAGAAGGTCTGATTTCTTTTAGTTTTCTTGCATACTTAAGCAATGCTGTAGACTTGCTAGAGAGAACAAAATAACAGCAACAACAAATCACATGCCTCCTTCTTTGTAAGTGGAATAAATTGTAATTTTAAAATTTCAATGAAGCACAATGGTATTTTGGATTTTACTTTAAATCATCTTCCTGATATTTGTAGAATTATACTGTACTGAAACTGCAAGCAACTGAATTTCCAAGATCCCTTTTTGTGTTACGTATTTTGGTTACATCCAGTGTTCAGCCCTCTGTCCTCTCTTCAAACTTCACTTTCTCTTCTCATAGCTGCAAAAAACAACTCTAAACTGCACTCTTACCATACTTCCCCTTGCTTTATGAGCATGGAAAGGCAAGGGATTTTGCTTATTTAGCTGAAAATGTGTCATCCCTCCACCTGGTAAAGGGACTTTGGCCAATGAGTAGGAAAGGAAATCCTTAAGTTTTTCTCCACTGTTTCTCACTTTTACCCTTTACTTGGCTTTAAAGAAAGAAGTGTTGATTGAGCAGTCCTGGCCATTCACAATGTGCACAGAAAAGGTTTAAGGAGTTTTATCAGTACCTGTTTCCCTGTGTGAGCCAAAAAGGGATGAGACAATTCAGACTCTGAAATATTGGTCAGTGCAACTTGAACTATTTTTTGTCCTTTAACTATTCCAGAGCTATGCTGAGAAATGAGGTCTCCCATAAGTTATCTTTTATGCCTGCTAAGCTATGAAATATTATTAAAGGCATGCAGACATAAGGATATAATGTAAAATCCAACATTTTCACTGCACTTTGTGGAAGAAGTATGCTCTATAGGCACAAAATTCTAACATGGTTTTAATTTTGAATACTTTTATTTTGAAATATTTAGAGAAATTAATTTAAGATCAATAGACTGGTTTTTTTAGCACTTTCACTTGCTGCTCCTGTGGGAAATGAGCAAAGGCTTTTACAGCAGCAAAATGCCTTATTGTATTGCTATGTTTGGTGGGTTGTTTTGTTTTGTTGGTTTTGTTTTTTCTCCTCACATTTTTTTCTAGGGGACTATTACAATCTTTTTCACAGGGTATAATATACATGAAACTGAATCATCCTTTGGGAAAATGGACACTATTATTCTCGAGTCATGTGGTATTAGTTATGGCTACAGACATGGAATGTATATCTATATATGTGTAGATATATGTATTTTCTGTTTAATCTGGTGTTCTGTCATTCAGTGACAATGCTATTCCAGATGCTTCATAGCAAAGTGCATATCCTCCGTGTGGTAGACAGTGTCCAGGAATGATGCTCCTTGCTTGATCCTGTTAAACTTTCTTTCTTTTTTGGTGTTCAAAGAGTTTTTACAACTTGTTAATGGTTTTGCATGGCTTCCCTATTTGGAAATGTTGCACTGCATTTCAGAGTGTTAGAACAGTGAGTTCTCTGTGAACATGTGACTTTGGGTTTTTGTCAGAAGTCTTGACTGACTGCTTCTCTATGATAAATTATTTTGACTTCTTAATAGTATATTCCCTAAATGGAACTGTTTCAAATTTTTTTATTATCTTTTTTATAAGTTTAATTCTTTCTATGTTTCAAATAATTTTCATTCCTATTCTGTCGACCTCTTGTACTTCTAGAGGCTTATTTGAAAAAAGGTGATCAGAGTTCAAAGCACTGCAGTGGGAATATGCCATTAGGTTTCTCAAAGGCATTTGAATTTTCCTCAGCATTTTCTGGTTTTGTAAAGTTTATGATTCTGTTTTCTTTATAGACCATGAGCAGATGTTTTTGCCACCCTTTCTGAAATGATGCTTAGAACTTCCCTGAGTGGATTAAATATTTTAAAATTTCATACCAAGTCGCACTTTGTGAAAATTCAAAAGACAGACATCCAAAGATAGATGAAACCTTCTGAATGACAAAATTATTAAGTGTCAGATTTAGATGATACACTTATGAGAGAAACATTGACAAAATCTGAAGATAAATTGCTGTGTTCTCATGCTATGCCTTACACACAAACATATGCCAGTTCTTCAGATGTTTTGCTTCAAAGAAGGCCAGTTCAGCAGATTGTAGAAATTTTAGTGATAAAAGATGCAGAGTTAATCAGTTGAATTAATAAACAGAACAAAATGATTGCATTTAGCCCTTGGGTTTTCTTGGTTGCTGTTCCTGCCCTTGCTGCTGTCAATCAGCAGTGCTAGTTGAAGTCCTCTGTGCTTGTTTCTGTCATTATTGATTTAACAAGGTATTTTTTCCCCCTAAAAAATGCTGTCCTGTACATCCTCAAATTGTCCCCTACATTTTCATGTATTTTACTTTTCTGCCCTATCACTTAATCTTTCTGTGATTTGGAATCCTTGCTAATGTTCTGATGAATTCCTTTGAGTCTGATTGCACGATCTTAAACAGACTCTATGAAATCCTTAAACACAAGGATTAGAAAATGGATGCACATATTTCTGCAAAATTTGTAAAGACACATGTGGTGTTCTTTTCTCTGCTGGCTATGAGGGCATCTCCTCTCCCTTGTTACATCTTCTGGCTTCTCGATTGCATTCCGATGTCTTATTTCATGGCGCAGAGCAATTTCACTCATCTGGTGATGCTCTCCCACTGGCTGGAAGGGTTTGTGTCTGGGAATGCTTAAGACTGGGGCCTTGGGTAAACATGCGTGAATAAGACACCTTTAGTAGCCAAAGGGAGACGCTGTTGTTCCCACTTTTATTGTACAGACCCTGTGTCCCTTGCAGTTTCTTCAGAGGCCTCTTAGGATTGATAAAACAGTATCACTCTGCCCAGAACATACTGAAGAACTCCAGTCTGTTTTCTAGTCTAAACTGGCAGAATTAACAATTCATTTTTATTTCCAGACTGGAATTTTTCCAAGTCCATCAAATTATGTTCAGTTTAGTATTCTCAGGCAAATACTTGCTGGTTCTACTGACTATTGAATATTTCAATTAGAGAAACCTCCAATGATTCTAGAATCTGAAGGTGTTTTGAATATTTTAAATACAGTGCCAAACCCACAGAATTTTCTTTTTTATATTGCTTTTCCCAGGGAATGTTAAAGGCGTGTTTCATCAGGTCATAAATAGATTAGAAAAACATGAGATGGTCATTTTTATAGCAAATTTTTCTTAATTTATGGGTGATTTCTTTCTAATTTGGATAATTTCATTTGTAAAGGTACTGTATTTCTTTAGACGGAGAAGAAGTTTCTTTGACTGTGAGATGAGCTTAAAAGACAGTGTTGGCATATGAATGGGTTAAGCTTAGAATTGCTTTCATACAGTAACGTGCATGATACAGTCCATGCTGTTCATGTCCTAATTGCTTGCTACAGCATATTAGAGATTATTCATGAAAAGCCTGTGGTCTTGACATCTCAAAAGAAACCAGCAGCTTTCACTATTTATATTTTTGCTGACTTAATCAATAGTTGCAAAGTTGCTGGCTCTCCTCCAAACCTCTTGTGTCAACTGAATTGACAAGTAAATGCTCAAATCTCACAAAGTTCATTGGAGTTATACCACTTTTTAAAAAACTGCAACAGAGGTTGAGCTGTATTGCTTCACTAATGATTCTTGCTCAACCTGAACAAAAGCCAGTTAGGTCGCTTGATATTTTTTAAGGTCCTACAGTGTGGTACATCTGGGTCACATTTCTAATTTTGTTCTTATTGAGCAATGACTGGCTAAATGACTGGAAAGGAACACGTGGTCCCACAGCTTCTTCCAAGGGACTTAATTTATAGTTCCTGCATTTTAAATATTTTGAGTTTTTTTTAAAACAGAAAGGTGAGTAGCTTATTACTTTATACTTTTTATTTACTCTCCATTTAGTTAGTGTGCAAATCCAGCTGCTCTGTTGCATCCCTGAAGAGCAGCTTATTCCCATTTTCTGAGCTGTGTTCCCTCACTTACTGAGGCCAGCTGCTGCTCCTCTTGCTTCTGTAGTAAAATATAATTATCAAAATGTGACCCAATGGTAATATAGCTTCAGTGAATAAACAAGAAAAACCCCCAAACTGTGCTGAACTATGCCATTAATTAAGTGGCTGTCAGACCTGAGGACTCACTTGATTTCACTGGCACACTGGTGGTGAGCAGGAACTTGAATTAAAGTTGTCATGTGTAAAATCTCTGCTGGTAGATATCATCAGATATTACTTCCCCCCGCCAAAATAGAAATGAAGGTTTTCTTGCTCTTGTGCTTCTGTAATGTTTGGAAAACAGATCTTTCATGAGGACATAATACACATATTTCAATACAGGATATTCTGAAATACAGGCATATTTAAATTGTAATAAAATAACAAGACAAGTCTTAATTTTTTGAATTGGCTTTTCAGTGGAAATACAGATATTGGATATTGTTTTCTATTCCTGTAGTGTTAACAGTGAAGCCACAAATGGCATTTTGGTCCACCAGTGTTGGTTTTCTTTTTAATCTAAATGCCTCACTTCCCTGTTAATGAAATTCGTTTTAGATGAATGATCAGGGGTATTTATCTTATGCAGTGATTTCTTGAACCCTGTTATTCACTTACTGAAAATTAAGCACTGAATTTCCAAATTATTTATTATAAAAACCTTTGGGATGCTCTGATCACCAGATGGAACTCATTCATTTAGTTGGAATTGGGATATTTTCTAGAGGTAAAAATATTCAACAGAAACATTTAAAAATCAGATTCATTCATTCATTCCCATTGGAGGATAGAACAACATTTCAATTTCAACTTTTTGATAAATGATTTGCTGAAATAAAGGTAAGACAATAGAATAGAGAAAAGAAAGAAAACCCCCAAGTCTGGGTTTGAAGTTTTGGCCTCCTTTGTGACTACTTATCTGTATGACTTCCCTTCATTTGAAGTCATTCATAATGCTGAGATCAAGCATTCAAAAGAGGAGATTTTATTCAGATTTTGGCAAAAATCCCGAAAGGCCTATCAGATTGTGAAATACCAAAACTGTATTGAATTTCAGCAGCACTTGGGCAACTAATTCCCTCAGGCTGCTTAGAAAACCTCAACAGACTACCTGCATCTCCTCCTTTGGGCGGGCTTATTTTTCTCCTCTTCGCTGCCTGTACAAGTGCAAAGGAATCCTTCTGGGAAGGCCGTAATTGCACAAGTGCTGTGGCAGCCGAGCCGAGCTGCGCTGGCGCGGGACCGCGGCCGTACGTGAGGGGAGCTGCGCCAGCGCTGNGCCAGCGCTGAGGGGCTGAGCCCGCCCGGCCCCGCGCGCAGCCGCGGGCTCGGCCTGGGCGCGTCGCGCTTTTGTTTTCCCACACTCCGCTGCCTAATGGAGCCTTTCTCAGTGGAACAAAAGGCAACTTGCAGTTAGAGTTTATCATTTGCTTTACCGGGGGTAAATGCCTTCCTGTTCAGAAGTTCCTACGGTAAAAGTTTACAATGTCCTGAAGTACACGGGGACTTGCAGCTTGTGCCGGGCCTCAGCGGCGTGTGTAGCGCCAGAGGCACACACAGGCAAATACAGCTGTGTGTGCTCTGGTGCACCCAAACGCCTGCTATCAGATTGGACATTCAAAGGACATGTAAAAAAGATACCTTTTGTGATGTGTGGTGGTGTGTGTGCCCTGAAGTGTTACAGCCTTTGTGCAGCCTTTGTCATGTCCCACAGATTTTTTTTCCCCTAATTTTTAAGTAGTACCACAAAATTTATACTAAAAGCAAATAAAGCACCGGTGGCGTCAGTCTCTTGTATACTAATGCAATGCTGAATTGAACATGAAACATAGAAGCTAAAGGTATACATTTAACCTTGATACACCTTGTCACGCTGTGAAAAGACAGAGGGAAGAAAAAAAAGCGTGTACTCGACTTGGCAGTGAACTGCAGCTTTGAGTTCCCATCGAGGCGGTATTTATCAAGCATTTTTACAATGTTCTCAGGGTTTGTCAGGTGTGCTGTCCCGGCCTGCCGTGCCGCTGCTGGAGCGTGCGGGTGCCCCGCAGCCGGAGCCAGCCCCGGCCATGGGCGCAGCCCGGCGGGGCCAATGAGCGCCGGGCGGGCGGCGGGGTTTGCACAACAGCGCCCGGCGCGCCCGGGCTCTGGGGCGGCTGCACGGACCGGGTGGCGAAGGGAGCCAGCAGGGTTTTCTGTAACACCACACAGCACAGGCTGAGATTGCTCTATAAAAGGTGCACGATTTGCAGTCAATAATAATGCCAATTTTTACTTATGTTTCAGAACATGGAAACGTGAAACATGAGGTAAGGATTTTTCTTTTGCTTGTGATGTTTGTTTTGTTGGTAACATAACAGCTCCTTATTACTCTGTTTACATGCTGATAGAGAAGTTATGTTTTTCTTCTGGATTTGCAAACAGATTTATTTAGAGTGCTGTAGAAGTTGTCTAAGCAACAAGGTGTTCATGATTAAGTATGAATGTCTTCTCAAAATACAAATGAAACTTACAGCGAAATGACAGGGCTGAAAGCACTGAAAGGGGTGGAGATGCTTTTTTTAAGCTACAGGTAAGAAAACATACATTGCTTCACCAGTGGTTGTTACATCCTTATTGTTCTTAGACAAAATCTGGCTGCAGAGTTAAAAGTATTCTGTTCTTTTTCTCTGCCATGCCAGAGAACTGTGAGGTGATGAAGGATTGCTAGGGCAGGGTTTGACTCTTCGTGTGAAAAGACTATGGTTGCAGAGGTATCCTGTGGTATGGAGTTTATGTAGTCTGGAGAGAATGTTAGAATGGGACCTGAACAGAGGAGCTGCTGTGATGCACATTCTGTAGCTTGCTGTCAGCCTAGGAAGGCTGTAAGCCACCTTGGGTTATTTTTTGGCCAGCACCTGGGGCCTCTTCACTGCTGTATAGGAGGGCACAGCAGCTGGGTTTTGTCTGTCCCATCTGACAAAAGAGGTGCAGCACTTCAGACCTAGAGCATAATAATTTCTAGCATCTATTTTAGATCAGAAGCTTATAGTAATTGCTTAAATGACATACCAGTTATCAACAGCATATAAATGTTGCTGCTCTCCATAAGCATGGCTGTTTTGATGTTGTTGCTGATAGGGGTAATGGAAGGATGTTATTGCTGACATGGCTGGTGCAGGGCTGACCATATGCTCTCTGATGTTTGAGCTGTTTGGGTGTCACTGTAACCCCAGACAACGGTGGGGCTGGGTGAAGGCAGCTCTGCAACTTCTGGTGAGCTCCTGGGATGTGGGCCCCAGAGGGGCTCCTTCTCTGGGGATGTTGCAGGGGAATCCTGTTGTGACAGGGTAGCTCTGGCAGTGAACAGGGCTGTGCTCCCTGTGCCCAGCCTCTGCCCCTGCCTGTGCCCCAGAACTGCGAGTTCTGCCTGCTCGCCTCACTGCATCCTCAGCTGTGCCTCTGGCCAGGTGCTGCCCAGCCTTTCGTGTCTCTGCCTTGACAGATATGCTGAGTAAGGGCACTCTAAACTACAGGAATCACAGTGTGGTCCATTTGCCTGATGCCCTTCCAGTCCTGCAGCTGGCAGGCATGGCTGGAGAGCTGTGAGCAGATCATCTCCTGGACTTAGTGGACAAGGCTGCCAGGCTTCCTAAAGCTAACTACTGTGGTTAGCTGTTAGCTGTTTCATCCATGTCTGGATTAAAAAATAGGTATACTGTTTTTTCTTGTTGGAAAATTAAGGCCTAGCTTTCTGGAGCTATTGATTTACTATTGCCTATAAAGTTGATCCAAAACATCAGGATTACATTAATTTTTACCAAGACTCCTATTTAAGTGCCTGCTTTAATTCTTTCTGTGCAGAAGGAAACTTAAGCATGGATGAGGAATTGTCACCTTGGAAAACATGGATTTAGGTTTCATACCAGTAAAGTAATGAATCTACTGCTAATTCAGTATGTTTAAGGGTATTGGCCATGTTTTCATACAACTCAAGAACTATTTCCTTAAAACTGTTTACCAGACAGTCCTTTGGTGCATATGACTTGAGTTTTCACAGTCTCTCTGTTGTTTTTATTTCAATTTAGAATTTCTCTGTCTCCCTTTGAACTTTTCCAATTCCTGCCCCTTTTCCTTTCTTATGCAAATCTGTGGCTGCTCACCAATCTGTATCAATATGTACCAGTAACATGGTTTCCATCTTTGAAAAATGATATAGGATATAGTTTCGCATTTTGCTTTTATCCAGTACTATTATCTTAATTGTGGCAGCAGCTTTAAATTTTTTTTTCTATCCACTACAGATGAACTTGTATCCTTTTTTTAATTAGGCTTGTGGGGTACAGAGAGAATATGTCCAAGGACTCAAGAGTATGAAAGCTGTTTTCAAACCAGCTTTTGATTTTGCTTGCCTGCTACAGGGCTTGGTAATTTGCTTATGCCTCAGGTTACTGCTTTCTGGCTTGCCTTGGTGTGTGTCCTGCATCAGCTTATATCAACGGCGAGCAAATCAGAGCAACCTAATTGTTCCCTTTGTTATGCAACTTGCCTTTCTCTGCTTGGTTTGATTAAAAAATAAATAAATGCATGAACCATCATGCAAGTTGCCAGATAAAACAAGTTTGCAAAAGCAGATGAGTAGTTCGCAGATATGCATTATTTCACATTGAAATATCCCGGGATCCATAGGAAATGTCTTAGTGTATAAAATATAGAAAAGAAATCTAAATAATCAGAGTCTTGTCAGAGGGTTTCTGATTTCACACAACTCTGGTTCCTCCAATTTTAGAGAGGCAGTTAAGTTACTAAGTAACTAAGTAACTTAACAAGTATATTTAGATACTTGCCCAGAAAATAAGAAAATTCGGCATTCCATGGGGAACTGTAGTTAACTTCAGTTTAAAGTAGAAATAGTGAATGTTTCTACCTTATTAAAGCAATGCAAGTGGCTTTGACTTTTGTGTTGGTAGATGTTATCTGGGGCAGATAATGCCAGACTGCATGCTTTTCTCATATCCTATTCATAAATGATTTAAAAATTTTGTTCTTAGTTTCAAAATATGTTGATGTTTGAACAAACCTTCTATGGACTGAGAATCTTTCAGCCTAGTGTCAGAGAAAATGGGATGTATGAAAAATCCATCAACATTACTAAGAATATTTTTCAAAGTGTGATCTTTCTACAAGATAAAGATAATTGTGTTGGTGGTTAGGGGAAATAACTTAAGAAAAGCAGCTTTGCTGAGTAGATTGTGGGAATGAAAGGATTGCAATGAGCCTCCATGAAAACATGTTTATTCATATCCTTGATTCTTGTTTTTCTCTGTAGAAACGAACAAATGGAATTAGAAGAAGCTCTAGACATGTGGACCCAGGTTTGTGTCATGACTTTTTAATACTTAAACATTAAATAAAAAAGAGTAAGAAAACTGTAACTTGCTTTGTTAAGTTGCATTGTGAACGCTATTGCCATGCACACAATGCTGAGGACTTGACTGCTGAAGTCATGAAGGTCTAAAGCAATTGCTCTGTTTGTGATTTCAAAGATAAGGTCATCTGGTTGAACTCTTAATTTTTTTCCCCTTGTTTTTTCTTTAAGTAGGGCTCTGGTTCTATTGGAATAACAAAATGCCTCTGGGCTTTCAGTTAATATGACCCACCCTACTGTACTCAGTAGTTTTAAAAGAAATCACTAAGGGATTAATAGCAGACAGTTGCTTATAAAGCTCAGGCTCTAAGTCTTAAAGTTGTGGGTATTCCCAGCTCTTAACTGTAGTGGTGTTCAGTGCTTAACTGTAAGAGTTGCCTTTCTGAGAGGCATAAAGCAATTTCAGTTTTATATTGAATTTCAAAGTGATTTTATTTTTCCTTTTTACTTTATAGTAGATACTTCTGTGGTATCATGACAGCAGCAGCTCTTAAGAAAATGAAATGCTTGTTATAGGTTGTATACTCAAGTGGGTGAACATTTCCTCTGGAGACCCATTATGTGTCTGTATAAAATATTCAATGTTTTTCAGTGTAGCTGTGTGATATTTTTAGTGTCATTTTTTACAGTAATTACGTTTCGTCCTTTATGTTTCTTGTATACTTTAATTACTGGAGATTTGTTATGCAGATATTATTTGGAATATAAGTAAGCTGTGGATTATTAAATATCTCTAGATGTGGACATCTGAGAATAGTTGGAGTTAAACATTAAACAGGATGGCAATTCTGTACACCACATTATAGCCTGGCGGAGCTAAGCACTTTTCAAAAAGTAGGAATGCTGGTTGTGCCACTAGCATTGCAGCTGCCTTGGCTTGGAAAGTCTAAATGTTGTAACTAGCTGAAGCAGACCACACCTTTCTTACTCACGTACCTTTGACATGTTTTGGAACACGTATCGTCACTTTGTTCCCTCTAGCAAAATAAACCTGCTTCATGATTCTAGAAATTGTTCTGTGTGTCGTGACGACTGCAGTCATAAAAGAAAAAAATGAGCACCCTGTAACTCTGAAAATTAATACAGTCAGAGGGGAAAACATCAAGGGCAGGAATTAAATAATGTAGAAGGGGATGATTTATTCCAAGTGTTTGCTAACAAGACTGAGTTCTTCCCATTCATTGGTCCATGTTGTGGTTAAGTGTAATTGTGTGCTTGCAGAATAGTCCTTATAGGTTCAGTACCTTTAAACAAAGCTGTCTCATACAGAGTCACAGAAGATCAAGTAATTTAGCTTTGAGAACTCCTTGAGTATACTGGTGATTTTACTTGCTGTTGAAGTCTGATAGAAGTATTTGCAGGATCTTTGTATACAAAGATACTTTAAAAGTAGTTTTTATTGAAGACTAAGTACCACTGAAATCACCAAAAGTAGTTGAACTGAGTAGATGTTTAAATGCTGCATGTAGCCAATGCCTAAAATACTGTTCTGCTCACCCCCTGCCTTGCCCATTTACTTACACAGAACAGTTCTTGGAGTTGTTGGGATAATATTGTTATGAAGTTCATGGTCCTTGTAATATTTTTGAAAGCCAAAAGAAATGCAGAACATCTGCATGAACTTTAAATCCCTCTGTTGGAGACATGGCTGTAGAAGACTTCCTACAGAATTGCTTCTGACATTTTAAAGGTTTTAAATAAATAATAATGAGAAATATATTACATACTAAAGTGCTCTGTACACATACTTTCAGTTTTCAAATGAAACCAGCTTTTTGTTTTGCATTTTGTCAGGATACGTATTCTCTGTCCTCCTGTAACTCAGTGGGTAAAACTTTTAAAGTCTGGTAAACTCCTGGCATTTATTTTGCGTAATCTAAGTACTAGTGTTCATCAGATTGCATGTTGCCTTGAGAGACAGATGCTATCCAGAGGGCAACATTTGGAAGGGATCAGTCATGTCAGGCATACATTAGTGCATTGAGCCTCAGAGTTTTCCAAAAGCACTGACATGTGAAATTCTGAAGAATATGAGCACCAGGATGCTCTCTTTGCTGAGAGGTGGTGAAAAGTTTGACTGCCCAGACTGCTTTGTCTTTAGAAGGTTTGGTCTGCTGCTGCTGCAGCCACTGCTGCAGGCAGTGATGTGATGGTGCTGAAGCATGGGTGCTAGGCTAGGGAAAAGACACTTGCTGTGAATCAATAACCAGCACCTGCAGTGACTAAATATTGATGGAGTTTGATATCACCAGTAAATACGAATATTTTGGGTTACAACTTGCAAGATTGTTCTTGTAGGTCTGTCTTGGCTATTTTATTAAAAATACTGAATAGCACAGTCAAGTTAATGCATTGGTGCTTCTCTTTTTATGCTTAGAGTCAAATTCAACTTTTGCTGATACAGCTTAGCCCATAATGAAAAATCACTTAAATTTGATGAGAAGTAGTGCAAGTTGAAGGATGGTCAATGGGAGGATACTGGATTAAAATATCTTGTTTCCTGCTGGTAAAGCTCATTGATGAAGGAACCTATCTAGCTGAAGTACCCTAAAGGCACTAAGTTAGTTTATGGCTTTTTCATTTGTTTTTCTTTGAAGTTGGTTTAAAAGTTTTGACAGTAACAGTTTCCTCTGTGAGATTTGCTTTGTGCTGAATAAGAAAGAAGGGCAGAAGGAAAAATGATTAATGGATGATGAGGCAGAGAAATTCCCTTGAAAGCGGTCATGAGAAAAACATGCACACAAAAAGAAAACTGCGCAGAAACTGTACAGGTGAAGAAAAGATGGGAAATCCTACAAAAATGGGAGATCCATTGGTAGATCCTACAAAATACGGCTTTGTTTTTCCCCTCTGCACTGGGCCTTCAGCCTGCAGTCCAGTTGCAGAGAACCTCCTGAATTGCTTCATCTATGAAGTTTTAGTGGGACAGGTTTTAAATAACCTTTCTTTGGATTAAGCAAGAGATAATAAAAAGCATTGATGAAATGGACTGGTGAATATACCTGCAGCTATAAATCTGGGAAAAATTTGGTCTACAGCTTGCATATGACTGTAGAATGACATGATTCTGCTTAAAGACATTTGAGATGTGATCAGACTGGTGTCAGCTTTTACGTGGAATGGGCATGTGAAATGATAATTATATGACATTTTATTCTCATGTAGGGAATGTGTTTAAGCATGGGTTTTGCACTATTGGCTTAAATTACAAATGAAGCATTCATATGTATATTCATAAGCACAAATTCTCATTGTGTGAATTTGAGAAAGATGATGCAGTCTGACCAATGTTTTTTAATGGAAATAATTTTGTATTTGTTTTAATGTGAGTAAAAATTACTGACTTTCTCAGCAATAGAAATAGTAGTGTATGTTTGCTGTCTTTTTTTTTCAGTATAAAGAGTCTAAATGCGATAGATTCACAGCTTTGAAACTGGTTTTACTCTAAACACTTCTGCTAATACAAACATTCGAATTTTAATCTCTAGAGGTGTGAAAGTATATTTCATATCAGAAGGATAAACTTGGTAAAAATAGAACACTAGAAGTCTTATAGTCAAGATTCATTGTAGATTAAACTCAAAATCTGATCTGTGAAAGATCACTGCTGAACATGTTCTGACTTCTTAAACAGCTGATTTCTTTATAAGCAAGGATAAGAGATTAGAAAACCTCAGTTCTGAACTGAGGGCCAGAACCAATATTTTTCCCTTCACAGAAAATAAAATATTGTCTGACTTTTTTGGGATGAAGGGACTAGCAAGTCATGTGTACAATGCAATAGCTTGGGAAAATGTATTTTTCAGCCCAGGAATTCAAAATTCAAATAGTTTTAAAAAGACATATTTGTATTTCTGGTTGGTGTCTGGTCCATACGTGCTTTGTGAATCCTTTCATATTGGTTTTACACAGATTATAAAAAACCCCTCAGGATCTGAAGAGAGTCACTGGGTTTATGGCCTGAAGTATATGCATTAAATAAGTAACAACAACAATCTGTGTAAGGAGAAGTACAGTACTGAAGATATGTTTATTTCATTAGCTATAGTGTTAAATAAGCTACTTTGTGCTTCGTATTTTGTTGAAATTAGATTTTGGGATATTTTAACTAGGTTGTGTTATTGTTATATGTGTGTGATTAGTAATTAGTGAAACAATATTCAGGTGTTTGCACAGTGTGGTAGTATTTGCATCCTTGGAGTGAAAAATTAAGGGTTAGTGTGATATTGGCAGTTTAAATTTTCTTTTCAGTTAAGAATAAAGTATACTACACTGTGAGATATTTCAACAGATTCTTACACAGTGTGTTCTATGATATGCAAGTCTAACTCTGATTTCCATTTCAGCGCTACTCCCAGCATATGCCCAGCCAAAAGCAAAATCTGGCTCAATCTCAAATGCTGGGATATCCCAACCAGCAGATAATTCTTTGCCAAGTATGCAGTTGTTACAGATAAAACTACTCTTTAACTTAGAATTTGAAGCATGTTGCCCATTTTCATGTTTTGTTGAGCTATCCAGGTACATCCTTAGTAGTTCTGATTGACTGTTATCTTTCTCATTCAGCCCACTATAGAGAATACCCAGTTTCATGGATGAGAAAAGATACCCTTCAGCGTGAAGCCCAGTGCTGAAAACAGGCATTCAGGAATTTATTTCTCCACTTCAACAGTGGCAGCAATTACCTGGGATTCTGGCTGTGGTTTTGGTGGCCCAGTACTAAGTGGCTGTCACTATCAGAACTGAGATACAGTTGAGAACAAGAATTTTTCTTGGTTTTGAGCCGCAGAACAAGGTCTACAAAAAAAAAGGCATTAAACAAGCCCCCAGTATTTCATGAGGAGTTGACTGATGTCATTGATAGTATCTCCTCATTAGGATTGTCTTGATTAGGATGAATTAGACCAAGTACAATATTTTTGCTTTGGTAAAGGAATTCTTGTATAT